AGGTGACATTGTAAATAAGAAGCAGGCAGCATTATCTCTGGTCAATGTAAACAAACTTGTTTGTCTTAGCGATTGGCAGAACAAGAAGTAGGACTGAGTGGATGTGCAGGCTCTAAAGTTTTACACTGTTTTGTTTTTGAGTGCAGTTATCTAACCAGAAAAAATCTGCATTTGTAAGTTTCTCTTTCACAATAAAGAGATTGCACTTCAGTACTTGTATGAGGTGAACTGAAAAAATACTATTTATTTTGTTTATCATTTTTACAGCGCATATATTTGTAATAAAAAAATAATATAAAGTGAGCACTGTGCACTTTGTATTCTGTGTTGCAACTGAAATCAATATTGAAAATGTTGAAAAATATCCAAAAATATCTAATAAATTTCAATTGGTATTCTATTGTTATAAGTGCAATTAATTGAAATTAATGTTTTTAATCGAGATTAAATTTTTTTGTTAATCGCGTGAGTTAACTGTGATTAATTGACAACTCTATAAACAATCTAAAAATATTAACCGTTATAAACTGATTGCAATGTTAGATATTAGCTAATGTCTGGGCATGGTTTAGAAATGCTCTACACTCACCAAACTTCAAAACCTCACCAGTTAAAACCCAGCTATGCCTGTTACTCCTCCAATTCCATTTTGTAACTAACAGCCATAACCTCGGTGCAAGTGGATGAGATTAACTGCCCTCAATTGCATCTTGCATAAACTCCTCACTGCTGGGTCATTAATGGCCAGGAAGTGGCTGGCATATCAATCACTGGAATAAACTAAACAGTCTTGAGATGTGCTTAATAAATTAAACTGATGACAAAGTAACTGAAACTGATAATCCCTTGGTTAAACCAAAGAGGGGGGTGGAGGGAAGTGTTTGCCTTTGATACTTGTTCACTAGAAAGAAACTAGTCAACATGTACTTGTTTTTCCAAATTCTCATAAAGTGAGGTCTTAGCCAGATTTACATACAACATAGGAAAATGCGCCAAGTTTGAGACCAGTATACCATGCATTTTAAACAGTATCAGATGTTTACAGAACTCAGAAATGATCAGAAAACACCCAACTCCATTGAATGTCCACTTCTAGTAGGGGGAGTGACTTGCAAAAGCTTTTGAGATCCCATTAAGGTGTAAATAGTAAAGCTACAATTTTTTTTTAAAAATGTGATCAGAGCGAGCCCTTTGGTATGCAGCTCTGTGACATATATAGAAGGTTGCAACTAACAAGTTATATCATTTATCAACTAAAAAACAAGTATTATTGCATTCACTTGCATCACAGTACAATTTTTGCAGTTACTGCTCAATTGATTGTGCTACTTGGTAGCTCCTACTGAATTATGTGTTTGCATAGCACAATGAAGAAAAGTGCTGTATATACAGCATAACAGATGTATAAATTAGACATGGTAGTCCCCTTAATTTAGTGTTAACATTCACTTTATCGATAAAGTTATTTTGGATACAGATGAGACAACACTGAGGGGAGTCTAGGCTATATTTAATCACCAAAAAGTGCTGAAGTAATCTTCGACTGCTGACATCAATTTTGTTTTTTTAACAAATAATTGGCTACTTGTCTCAAAAATAAGTCAAATGGATTTTTTTAAAATAAAAACTTGCATCTTCTATATTCCTTTTAAATGATCAGAGAATGGTTGTGGGCAGCACTACAAAACCTTAATGAGATTATTTGAGAAACGTTAGCCAACCAAATTCTACATACAGCTCCTAAACAAAGTTAAACACAAAACATACACAGAGCTGTAAGCTAGGAAACAAATGACTTTCCCAGAAACAAGTCAGGAAAATACTGCAGACAATGGCGATATAGCATACCAGGGAAGGTGGTAATACCTGCAGTTGCTTGATACATTTGTAAACAAAAAAACCCAACCAAAACCCAAAAAGCAATAAAATGCCACCAAAGCATCACTGTAGTAATCACTTCAAGTGTCCACAACAGCAGGATAATGAGAATGTATATTACCATTCATCTTCTAAAATATCTACTGGTGATATTTATGGATTTAATTGATGGATTTAAATTTAGCTATTATAAAAATCTCTCTGAAGGAATTATGCAAATGACAAAGCATGCCCTAAATTTCTCTCTTTTGGATCCCAGCACCTCTATGGCAAACCCATCATCACATTATTCCAACACCTCTGCACAACGCTTATATTATTTGGCTCCTGGAGTGGGGGTTGGAGTGAATTTGAGTGCAATTAAGAGTAAAGTTAAAAACCAAAAAATTCAGAACAGAGCGAAGTTGTTCCTTAATTTAAAGTGAAATACAGCAATGGTCACAAAATGAAGAAATAAATGCATTTTGCAGGAATTTAAATATAAATTTCAAGCATAAAAAACTTAAAATCCTAGACATAGGTTTTCACAAGCTCACAAAAATATTTAAAGCATGTCAAAACCACATTAAACAAAATGTAACCATGATACAAATATGAATTCAATTGTTTTCCCATTTTATTCAAAGTAGAAAGTGACACGTACTTTTGTCCCTTATCAAGAGAATGAACCATAAAGCATGGCTGAAACTGCTTTTCTTTTATAGTCAATGATCTAATATTTGTTGAGCTTTCAGCGTCCTAGAAACATGGAACTGCTTGTTTTCAACTACGAATATTAAAAACACTTATTTTATCATGGCATTAGTACTAACTGTCAAAGAACAAAATTACAATTTTTAGATAGCCACGTGTGTTAGCTATGCCCAATCTCTCAATACTTAAATATATAGTTCACACATTCAGCAAGTTACTATATATACACATACCTATATTAATTTCAATAATCAACTGTATTGCAATAGTCTTTTGTTTGAAAAGAGGGAAGGTGTCTCACCTTTTTATACTATACAGTATTTATATTTTGTTCTAACTGCTTTACATGAATTATTCTGACAAGCTAGCTTTCAAAATTTGTCATTTGAAACAGTGGGAAAGTTTTACATATCTGATGTTTAAGAATGTAAGACCCATTCACGCCTTAAATGTGCATTAGTAGAGAGCTGACAGTACCTTTTTAATACTTAGCACGTAATACAAATGTCAGAGAACCGCATACAGATTTTAAAAAAGGTACTAGAAAGACATTTTTGAGAAATACAGTATGGAAGATCCTTGTTTATAGGAAAGTCAAATGAAGTGCTCATGCTTTTAGTAAATTGTTTCAGACCGTGTTTGTGGTTTTGACGCTCCGCTGACCTGGCATTGTGGTCGTGCTGCTAGAGCTACTGTCATCCACGGGCCCAAAGAAATCAAGGTTCAGAAGAGTGGAACCTCCACTAGCTTGAAATTCAGTGACCATGTTGGTAGGCAGCCATATAGGAGGTAAGCCAAGGGAGGGGTTTGTGTGTAAAAAGGGGTAAGACACACACTTGAACATGCAAGTTATAATTAGTACTCATTACACAATTTAAAAATTGACATAAAACAAGGCTTACAATATTAGTTTGTAATTTCTAAAGAGGTTAACAACTTAATTCAATGTACATTTTCTCATGTACAATGCAGCAAATAATTCAACACTAGTAACTTTGTAAGTAGAAAGAAAGATAGATTTATTTCAGTCTAAAAATGGAGTAGAACCAGCAAGAGAGATCTGCCCAATTAAAGGGAAACAATTCTTAGGCCAATCTGTTGGAGGAGGAGAATGGTTTAAATGTCAAAGAAAACAAACCATTCTTCAAGCATGAAGATGTAACTGACCCTCCAATTAAAGCACAGGATTGAAAACTGGACAAGTTGTATTAGCTAGTTTTATGTTATGAACGGTCAATATCAGCTTAAAACAATGTAAATACATCATAATGAATGCCATGATTACATCCAGCTTCTGAAGTGGTAAGTTACACTGTTCCCCTTTAACACTGAAGCAGAAATCAAACAGGATACATTTTGAAGAAATTGCTTGTTAAAAGAAAGCAGGATGATTTGACTGAAGTAATAAGACACCGGACAACAGCAAAAGGGCCCATCCAGGCTTTCCTTCATCACCATGGTACTGATATCCAAGCTGTTACTTTCCACAGATCCTGGGAACAACACTACTAGATAGCACTGGTGTAGTAACAGATGTAATTTATTTTAGCTCATTTTTTAGCAACTCGTGCATTAGGAAATAATTGTTGCTAGCAGAAACCTCATGTTCTTTACAGGTTTCTAACCTGCCACCCAACAAGTTTATTAAACTTGTTACTTTTCCTTCTCCTCCAGCTTACATTTAAGGTACACAGTTAGTGTGACAACTCACTTCCCCATTAAAAAAATTATATAAAATTCTTTTACGTGAATTTTTAACTATGTAGACGACTATGTTTGTTAAAGTATGTAGCTACCTCTTTAATAATTTAACATCTTTAGATTCTGAGTTTAAGCAAAAGTGATTACGCATTAAGTTATACATTTTCCATTTTAATATATAAAATACTTGTAATCTGAAAACTTCCAGGTTAAGAAATCTCTTTTGCAAACAGTTTTTGGTTAAACAATTGTGCTTTGAAGTAGCCACTATTCACTTAATTTTGCCATTCATAAGGGAGTCTAAACAGATAATTGTGTATTGGGAAAAATACATGTTTAGAAGTAAAACATGTCAATCCAAAATCCTAAACTATTCAGATCTTCATTATAATATGAAAATATTTTGCCACTGTGTGTTCAGCATAAATGCAGGAAAATAAAATATTACCTAGTTCTTAGTGTTTTAAGATTATAGATTGCTTTATTTGTGGCAGATCTAACCAGAAAGAAAGCCTGAATTTCCAAAGTTAAGAGTAAGAAATAATATATATTAGAAAAAAAAAATCAGCAGAGAGATGTTTGTCTGAACTTTGTAGCTTTCTTAACTCTAGCTCTGGTGCTAGAGGCTCTACGGAGAGACGTACCATCTAAAGGGTTAGTAAGGCCACTGCTACTCCAGTCAAACTGGACAGGTGGTAGAGATTCCTAGAGTTGAAAAGTCAGAAATCAGATTTTATAGTCAGTTCAGGTTATAACAATGTAAAATGTTTCACACAAATATTTTTTTGCACCTAAATATTAAGGGGACAATTGAACATAAGACAAATATTTTTACCTTCAGATGTTGTGAGCTGCAAATTTTCTAAATACACTTATAAAAAAATCTGAAGTCTACCTCAAAGTCTGGTTCAATTATGAATCAAACAGATCAGATACTCTCCCTAGCCCCAACAGGTTTTTCTTAAATTAACTAAATTCTGGCGACAAAAACAAAAACATTAATACAGCGTTAAAATTTAAGAAATTGCTACTCCAACTGGACACAGTGCAGTCTTTGTGCATGAAAGGTTGTGAACACACAGTTTAGCTTAGGTGGCTCTTTATTTTAAATATGAAGAGAATGTTCTGCACTTCTGTATGCTTTGGCATGATTATATCCAAAAACGAAAGTTACTCACCGTGAAGGAACCCATGTTTCCTTTCTAGACAGAGGTTCCCCCCAGCACACCCGGGGAGTATACTACACCCTGAAAAGGAAAGACTGCCTACAACGACCCTGTGATATATTATCCTGACCAATAAAGGCGAAGCTAAGTCCCAAACTTTCTGTCTGACGACAAAGAGACGGGGTGCCAGAACTTACACACACGCACAAAATCCAGGAGCAAGACTCAAAATAGAAAATGTGTCTCCTCCTGGGAGAGTATCCTTAGCTTTCCATTTCCTTTTGTTCAATCCTTCTGCACACCTAAGTAAGTTAAGCAAGATGCAGAGATCACATAGTATGAACAAGTAAGGGGGGGAAAGGAAGGATATAGTCAGCTTCCTGGTAACTAGTGGCAACTTGTAGTGTAACTTGTAAATGGTTTGTATTCTGAGGACATCCACAGGAGCAGCATTACAAATACTTGGTATAGGTAGCCCTTGCTTGTTACATTTCTGCTCCCCAGTGAAATTAGCTTTTAGAAACAATGGGAAGGATCTGCCTGAACTATGTAAGTTTGGTACGTTGTATTTTGTTTGTTTCATTATACTTGAGTTAGGAGGAACAGCTGTAACTTTTGGTAATCAATATGGAATGTCTTACTGGAGTTAACCTATAAGAACCTGCAAGTAAAGTTTACGACACATTCTGACTATTTCAGTAAGAAGGGGGCTCTCTAAAGTTGGAACAAATTAATGTTGAAAGGTTGTGCAATTTCACAAAGTAGAGGGTCAGTACCAGCTCCATACAATAAAGGTAAATTTTAAGAAGCCTCTAGCTTCTTGAAAAATATTACTGGAAACCAAAAAATAGGAAGTGAATGGAAGTTCTGTATTTACTTATCATAAAAGCTTTACCTGGAGAAATCTTTTCTTCCTAATGCCTTTGCAATGTTTACAGTACTGATAAGTATGCTTTAAGCAGTCCCTCACAACCTGATGTCTAAGGATTTAATCACATCTCATTTTTATTCACTCTCAGTGAAAATACTAGCATTTGAAAATACTCCTATTAGTGGCAAAGAAAAATAATGGTGCCGATGCAGAACCTGCAGCTGGTACAGTTATGACAGTCATGCCCAGTATATTATGAGTAAGGCTATGATTTAATCATGAGTATTTTTAGTAAAAGTCATGGATAGGTAACAGGCAAAAAACAAAAAAAATCACGGCCCCATGACCTGTCCACGACTTTCACTAAAAATACTCATGACTGAAACTCATTCTTCCATTGAGAGAAATGAGCTCAAATCCAGGCTTTAATCACAAGTGAAAACATGGATTAATGGTTTCCTACCAGACCCCATTTAGTCACACAATCACCCTGGAAACAGTTTGGAAGTCTCTGTTAAAGTATTTAGATTCAGGACCAGTGTTCCCTCTAATTTTTCCCACCCTCACCACATGAATTTTGTTATTTGCACCCATATGGAGGTGATGAGTCAAAATTCATGTGGTGAGGGTGGGGCCAAGGGGTTCAGAGTGTGGGAGGGGGTTCTGGGCTGGGGCAGAGAGTTAGGGTGCGGGGGGAGAGGAGATGAGAGCTCCGGCTGGGGCGGGGGGTGGGCTTTGGGGTGCAGGCTGCCCTGGCGCTACGGCGGTGAGAGAGGACTCCCCCCAGCTCTCTCCCCCTGCAGCAGCACCTGGGCTGCGGGGGAGGGACACCTCTCCCTGCTGCGGCAGCTCCAGGGCTCGGGCCATGGGATAGGCGCCTCTCCCATAGCCCTGACAGGTCTGTGCTGGGGCCCCATTTTCCCCAACAGTATGTTTTTACTCTAATGAGAAGTGCCAACAAAAAGTATGAGAAATCTGATTATAGGGGTAGGCTTTTTTCAGCCTTAGATTAGGACTGTAGGTTGGGGTTTAAAGATACAACTGAGTAGGTGCAATTGTCAGAGAATTATCCTTAGGTTTGCTAAGGAAGTGAGGAAGAGGAAATTGAAAAACCTAGTTTTATTGTGCAATATTTAGCTTTCTGGTTTAACAAATGAACAGTTTTTCAATTACATTCTAGAGCACTATAAATATAGTTTATTGCTGTTTCACTGTGTGGGAGCATTTTTAATTCAAAAGATACTGTTTAAGATTTAAACATTTGTCCCCATACAAATAACCCACTTAAGAGATTAAGTCTGAACAGAAAGAATTCTTGCTGTCTTAAAGTTGCAAAACAAGCTGGCAATACAAATATAATGGCAACTTTTAAATGTTGCCACAAACAGCACTGTAAACAAGACTTTTGGAAAACTGGAAGAAAAGACTTACTATACAACTGTGTACAATTCATACATCAGATCATAAACAAAAGTATTCACTGGAAAAAATTTACTATATAAGAGTTCTTGCTTTGTTTTTTCAAATACTGCCTTCCTTTCTAGAACAGTACTTCAGAGCTACTTTATTACACTTTATGGAATTTAATTATCCAGTGCCCTACCATCGCTTACTCAAAGAAATTTCTTACCTGTAATTCTTGTTCTTAGATCTCATTCTTGGATCATTCACATGTACTGAAGGGGGTTCCATAGCTGTCTTTGGCCAGTGGCCAATAGCAGGGCAGCGTGCATCTGTCATCACTAGCAGTTCTAGTGGCCCTTCATGCAATTAACAGGACCTTTTAAGAGCTCATCTCATTGAGTTTAATCAAAGCAGAATGCCAGCTAATAGCTAAAGGCATAAAATATATTCTGTCATTACATTTTACCTCCAACACAATGGGGAAGAGGTGTATGTGTGGATCTGCTGTGATAAATACCTTCAAAAAAGAATACCTGGTAATTTTCTCTCTAAAGATCTAGTTCACAGCAGGTCTCTATTCTTGAAGATCAAACTTCACCAGGTATTTCTTTAAGCAACTAAGAAAGCACAAAGTTATCCTGAATGCTGAGATGAGGATAACAACTTCAGACTCCACCAAAGTAGTCAACAGATGTCCATAATACAAAGTAGAAGATACTCGATCAAACTGGGGAGGAATGTAGATAGATCCCTAGACGACAACTTTTTTTTTTAAAGAGGGGAGTCAAGGGAAGGAGAAGAGAGTGGGGAACGGAGGTGCTGAGTCTTGCCATAGGACTTGCAAACAAACCTAGATGGGGGATGAACTGATTGCTGAAACAAGAGTCAAATCTGGCCAGTATCGATACTGATGGTGCTGAATAGAAAGACAGAGATAACTAGATAGAAGCATAAACACAGATGCACTTGGAGCACCCACGGTACTGACTGTTCTGAATGGAGTCAACAGCGAAAAATACGTTCACCACCAGCAGGACATGATAGTTCTGTGTTATTCCTAAGTCAACAAGGTAGAACAAGCAGCTAATGGAGATCAATAAGACGTGAAGTGCTCGATCCAGTGGCTTGACTAAGCACCAGAACAACTGGAACTAGAATTACAGATGTTTTTTCAATCAGAAGTCACGGGCCTGATGCATGATCAAAGGAGCTGAGGGGTTTAATTTACTTGATCTGAACTCTGAGGGATGTTTGGATTGAACCTCATTCTCTGAATCTGTGCTGAGCAAAACTGAGGTGACATGTTCATGATTTAGATGCCTCAGTATGTCCCACTGACTCAGATGCTCCAGAATGTTCCACTGACAGATGTTGGAGACAGTCACACATGCCAGTAATGGACATTTTATGACTACACTCAGGGTATTTCTTTTACTGGCCAATCTGCTTCCTATGTATTCTGTAAGATAAAAAAAAGGGAAAGAGAGAAAGGAAAAACAGTGCAACAAGCACATGTTTAAAACTATGCTTTAGAAAGTTTAAGAAATTTCTGTCAGACAGGTAAAAGTTGCTCCATAAAGAAAATATGAAAACAAAAAGAAAAGGGCACTAAGGATAGGGAAAGTACAAGAAACCCAGAGAGAACTTTGAATGAAAAACATTAGCCAGAAGAGGGCCAGCTGCTATGGCACACTTCACAATCACAACAGCAGCTCATTCACAGTCAGTTGTTAGAAAGCAGCTAATCATTAGAGGCATTAGAGGTCATCAGGGCTCTTAGCAAATGCAGGTCTCCCTGTTAGTGGATGGCAGCCAGAGACAGCTTCGGGACTCCTTCCAGACACACATGGGGTGGATCCAAGGGTGGGATTTTCTGTGATGCAGAGAAAACTCCTTTATATGTTCAGATTCCTTTGGCCCTGGAACCCAGAACTGTAGTATTATAAAGCTAGATCAGGCACCCTGCTTTCCAGTTTTTTACCTGGAACTGATCAGATGTACATGTGCTCATCTCTGGTGATACAGGGGTAGTCTGTCCTATGGAAGCTATTTTTTCTGCAGCAGATATTGGTTTCAGAGGTTCCTTGGTAGGCTCTAACATACCCTAAAAAAATAAGAGTCATGTGTACATACATGCCAAGAACTACACAGACATTGAAAGACAGAAAATATGGTACTAAATAGTAATATTCTGAAATAGGTGGCTCCCAAACATTGTTTCTAGGATTATTTTCATATTCAATGTTTTAAGACCTCATTCGGCTCTATTTAGTGGATCATAGGGACCATTTTACAGTAAACGATGGAGACCCAAACCCTTTAACTGAGTCTTATTACTATCAGTAATATTACACAAGTTAGAAGATATTGTTCCATGATCAAATGACATTTTCCCTCCCTGCTGTAAGTGGACTATCACAAGGATCAAGTGGCACAGGAGAAAGGAATATAGTAGTATTTACTCCATTTAACCACCCAAAACAAATTGGTTATTTATAAGAATTGAGTCATTTTGTAACATGATTTTGTCTCCAATACCTTATTTTCAGTGTGATTTGCTATTACTACTGCCAAGGATGTAAATCCGTTTTAAAATCTCAGAGAGGTCAATGAAACAGTGCTTTTCATTCTGAATCAAGTGCTCAAGGCCTAGCACAATGATCTGAGTAGGCTTTGAACTCTCAAGCTCTTTTGCACATAAGTGAGAAAAATTGGTGTAGTCACAGGCATAATTTGCATTCAGACATACAAAAGACTTCTGTTCTCACAGAAGCATGTCTAAACCATGGTTTTGTTCCACATATCGTTGAAATTGTGTAAGTTAGCCACCAAAATTAGCTTGTCCAATGGTCAAGTGGTTCTAGGAAATTAATGTTCAGGACCCAAACTCACTGGATCAGCAAAGAAACTAGATTTAGTTTCAGAATGGAGGGAACATCTGAAGCTGTGGGGTAGGAGGAGGTACTAAGTCATTTTGCATTAAAAGTCCATCTGCATACTGCTTATTTATATTTAGCAACTAACTCATTTATGTGCACACGTGTGCATGTATATTATATATAAATAAAATTTAGGAGAGTGGCTTCTATGATGTTATTTTCAACAAGAATTTCATAAAGATTACTATGAGGCATGAGCTGCTGTGATGGGTGACTAATACTGTGCATATTATTGGCCAAGTACACACCTTACCGGTACAATAGATGGTCCTGCTCCTAAATATACACAAGATAAGCCACTGCTCATTAATAAGAGATTTAAAACTCCCTCTATAGTCTACAGTAGGCATATCCTGGTACAAAGCAGTGCACAAATAGGCTTGACAAATCCAAGTCTGAAGGAACTGTTGTGAATCTTTATATTAAAATGTTTCCTGGTAAGTAACAGTAAGCATAATATGTATCAGACAGTTGTAATTTCTTCTATAAGGAGACTACATATCAACATTTAAAAAAAATAAAATTCCCATAAACAGAAAAAGCTTTTAAAACTCTGATCAGAAAAATTATGATTCTTGGTCTGTCAATGTTTGTCTTATTACAGATATTGCCAGGTGTATGAGATGCCAGACAGGACAACATGGAGAAATTACTGCAATTCTTAAATGAAAATGGATAAGATCATCACACAACTTTACTTTAGATTTCAAAGGACACTGAAGGGAAAAACCTCCTTCACGTACTGTTGCTATTTTTTTAAAGCAACTTTCAGAGCAAAGGCAGTCTATGATGTCCGTGGAGCACATCCTATAAGGACACATGGCCTGATGCCCACTTTGTATGTGTTCCTTGAACGAGGCAGAAATTCATAGGAGCCCTTGACTCAATCGCTGCAGATCTTGTACATACAGGACTTTCATTGACTGGCAGACATGGAATAGTGCATAGCAATACAAGAAGATACACATGTATCTAAGAATGTTGAAAAAATATTGTATTTGAGAAACAGCATGTGATCATGTACTCAGACTTATGTACTAGGGATCAGAGTAATGGTTACATGAGCAAGAAGAATAATGTTTGATGGGGATAGGGGAAGAAACTTTGCTTAGTAATATAATTGTCTACAATGGGTTTTCTTGAATTTACCTCAGCAGCATCTAGTACTAGTTACAGTCAGAAACAGTACACTGGACTTTATGGACCTATGCTCTGATCCACTTTGGCAATTCCTATGTTCACATTGCCATTTCCTAACTGAGGATTTAACCTTGCCAGTTTAAACTTCTTTACTGAGGTTTTTTCTTGAATATTTTAAAAGCTGTATTCTAATCTCATGGATTTTCACTAAATATTAAAATGGGATTAAGCTAAAAGTCATTATTCAGCCTATACACACCTTAACATATTGCATTATAATCTTTTCTTCTCACCAAAATGAGATTGGATCATTCAGCATAATTTACTAAACAAATAAAGCAAGTTATTTACATGTTTTGCAAGCTTCTCTCCCTAACAACTCTATTGATGCCCAACAAGTGTTTGAGCACACTACAAAAATCTCTTTCAGCTTGTTTGGTGCTTAATGGCACTTTATATATTTGATTATACTTTTATGGAATATACACAGTTTTTGTGGGAAGCATACTATGGTACTTACCAGTCCTGCTGCATACATGGGTACAATAACAGGCTGCTTCTTGTTGCCTGTAAAGAGCTGATAAAAAAAGATGGATGACTTAAGCAGTTCTCCCATTCTGTCTTAATCATAAATAAAATTAATATCTTTTAAAATATGGGTCAATGGATTAGGGTTATATTTATGAGATTCATATCAGAGCATAGACCATATGAATTTATAACCAAACAAGGTTTTCATTTTCTTTTAACAAGTTTATACTGGAAATATAAATTTGCCTGTAGTAAATTTGAAGCTGTAGTACTAAAGTATACTGACACGAAAACTCATTTTAATGTAGGTCTTCTATGAAGAGGTGATCATTCAGAAAGAAACATAGGCATGCAGAACTAAATTTACTACAGCTCACCTAAAGAAACAGTTAAAAGTTTTATAGATAAACTCACAATATTTCTTGTGTCGATTCCCAAGGAGCATAAAAGCTTTTTGTTGCTGTGGGAGCCACCCCACTGATATCTCAATCCATACGAATCATGGATATCCTGCAGCTCTGTCCACACTTCCATAAGTTCCCTAAACAGCCCATGATAAATCAAATCATCAACAGGAAGAATCATATGACTCAGCAGCTTTAGACACATTCTAATTATTAATGTGACTGACATTATAAATTCCAATTAAACTTGTGCCCAAACACTAGTACTCAGGGGAACTAAAATTGCTATAGTGTTCTCAGAACAATTATTATTCAGACTTATAATTGGAAAATGTTGCCCACAGCAGACAGAACAGGGCCTACTTAGACTTCATCAACGCATGAATTAATACAGCAATTTGTAACAAGTGTAAGTAATAAGCTACATCCTAATTAACTATCTCATTTAGACATCACTTAAAAGTAGAGGAGAAACCACCAATTACATGAAATACTACCAGTACATGTGGTCACTGAAACAGACATACTGAACTACAATGATTAACTTTTACCCTATAATTTCTAAAAACACTTACAGAAACATTAGAATTTGACATACATCACTACATGTTTTTAAGTTATAATCTGCGTAAAGACCTGGGCTTACTAAAAGCAGCTTTATTCACTTGATTTTCTTTAAGTTTGCCATATTAGTGTTTCTTACCCACTGTTTGCGGAAGTCTCCCCTGTTCTCATCTGTTTGTTGCTTGCTTCCAGAAAAAGGCTCAAGGAAATTATCTCTTCTTCTGTTTCAAGAACAGGTATGGAAGGAAAGCAAACTTCAAACATTCGCTCCAAACGGCTTAGCAACGTTGTCTAACAAACAAACAAACACCAAAGAAACGTATTTCAAGTTTTCTTTAACTGCTTGTTCCAAAAATAAAGAAAAAAATCTGATGAGTGTGACAAATGAGAAACTATACATAGGTTTCAAAGTAGCATTCAAATAAAATGATAATCCACTTTTACATAACAACTTTTGTTAGAGGATCACAAAGCTCTTTACAACTCTAAGAATCACAACTGAGGGGTAGGTAAGTGACATACCCACCACTGGCAGCACTGCGATAGGTTTGACACAAGAAGTTATTACAATAGCTAGCTGAAACTGCAAGGTGAATATCGGTAGTAAAAATATGCAGCAAGTATTCCAAGTGATGTTTAGTTAGGGTGCGCGTTAATGCCCCTCATTCGTATGGTAAGTACCGTCAGATCTTTACTGAACACAAGTGGTCAAGATGTTGGTTTTGAATGTCCTCTAAAATACAGAGCTGGAAACAGCAACGTTCCCCCTGACAAAAGGGACTGGTTCAATACCAATTCACAGGGAATAGATCTATTTCCTACATCATCTAGGTATTTATCACGTCTCCATCAAAGTACTGACCTGGGGCAAACATGCTTAGTTTATAGTCTAACAGGCTAATAGTATAAATATGAGCACCTGCTATGCAACACTTACTCTTTCCATAATACTTCCAAATACTGTGTGCTTTGCAAAGAGTATTCATTATTAGAGATTTGAGTAGCATCCAAATGTGCACTAGGCATGTTACAAATAAGAGATCCCTATTTAGCTGAAGAGCTTCAATCTAAATAGATAAATATCATGGAGGGGTGAAGGGGATGCAACGTGAGTTTTTCCACACAATCATTTCAAAATATGAACTTTGCCTATATTATTCCCCCCCCCCCGATTATTTAGTGTATTTTTATATAATCATTAGCCCAATTTTCTATTTTTAGCTCTTCTATAAAAAGTTAACCTATATCACTGCTCTACATCTTGGCCTTTCTCCCAGTAACTCCATTCTCTTCTCATTAACAGTTGACCAAAAGGTTTTCTGATGATTTCTGTGGGCTAGTGAGGCAGTGGAGTGCCTCCTCTAACATATCTTTTGCCTTCCTACAGAAGCTGGGACATTTTTAGGCCATCCTTTAAAAGGTGCTGGAGTGAGTGAGCCTGACAGCTTTACCTTCAGTGAAAAGCCTATTGAGGGGCAAAACACAACAAAACCCCACATTTCTCTGAATATTGACCTACCACCATTATAACAAACACCTAAGATTATTGCAACTGAAAAATCAGAGAATACACATTCCAATTTACTCTATGCATTTGATGTATAGCCACTTTCAGCGTCAACTTTTTGTGTAGAAAAAATTGTTAAACCACGACAAATTTTTGTATTTTTAAAGGACAGGTGTGGTGCTTTTTAAAAAAAATACTATCCCTTCAGGTTTTGTAATCCTTATTACCATTTCATTTACATTTCCAACATGGCCCTTGCCATGTTGCAGCTGCTCTGCCGTTCCCTGTCTGTCCAACTGCTGCATTGCACAGCAGGGAAGAGACTAGCATTTGGCTGTTCCATTTCTGATAGTCTGTTTGGCTGTGGGAGCCCCAGGGAGAGCAGAAGAGGAGCTTGAGTTATGGTCCAAGCTTCAGGGAGTGCCTACTAAGGATGGCTCCCCTCCACCACATAGTTACACAGAGCAGTGGACATAAAAACGCAAGATGAGAACCAGTTATTACTCCCTGATACTCTCCCCCAAGGACAGGTTAGAGCAGCTTGGAGGCTGCTCTAATTTGCACCATCAGGTTAAAGTCCACAAGGGACTATATGCCAACTGAGGATAGCCAGAGCACAATGTACTCCAGCCACTCTCCTGCTTCTGACACACTCCTCTGCACCAAGGGCAGAGGCAAGGAGGTACAAGAGCTGGGTTTTCTTCAAACTGGGGATTTTCCCATGTTGAGTGAATCTGCAGCAGGGGACTTGCAAATGACTTCCACTCCCTTTGAAGCACCTCAGTGGCACAAATATTTAAACAAGGCAGACATGTCCATACATATTGTTTATCCTTAACCTTTTTTGATGGACAGGCTTAAAAATAATGTAATGCACTACTAATTATTTCCTTTTAGAATTTTTCTGTTAGTGCTTTTACAAGAAACAATCTATTTCAAATGTAAATATTATACTCTGTGTGCAACTACATCAGTTGCAATGATCTTTTACAGACTACTGACGTTTACTTAATATTCCTAAGATATATGCTACAATCCATCAGAAATGCACAGCAATGCTCACTATGAAGGCAGCAGAGGTGTCCAGCCATATTGGTAAAGTAGCACACCATCAAGTTTCCCTGGAAAAGGTCAAGATTTGGAAATATACTCAAATCCCATGGTGTAATGACTAAGAATAGGTTTGCTTAAGTAACAAGCCATCTACAAAAGGAAAGTGCCTGCCACTGTGAATACCTACTGCCACTCAGAAAACCAGGTCAATGTCTAAGTTGGTGGTTTGATTTTAGGGCAGTGCAGATGACAGCAAGAGAAGGAATACAATACAAAGAGCCCTTAATAATAGAACTTCATCTCAGGCTATTGCCAGCACCCACATAAAAATTCAGATATAAAAGTTTGAGAGAGGAAGACATAATATTGTGCCAAGGCTGCAGTAACTACTTAATCAAAATATCCTTGGCACATGCTTTTATCTATTTAAGTCTTACAAAAACATTTAGAAGGATCTCCAAGTATTTATAGGTGATGTACTGTGGAAAGTAGGAAGGTTTCCATAGAAAATCAGGAGATCTGAACTGGGGAGAATTCCAGCTCCCTGGACTCATGCAACCCAAGTATATCAAGGGAACAATGGCAATAGCTCTAAAGGGAGCAACTACACTTATTCATTTAATTGGAAATATGACACTGTGTTGGCAACTCCTGGGTGGAAAGGGAGTTACCAAAAAATAAACACTTTGCAAAATTCTGTTGCTATTTTAGAACTACTTCCTTTTTGCTCCATAAATCCCACCCAAATGCTTTACTGGAGAAAAAAAATAGTGGAATATATATATACACACATTGTGTACAAGTACCAGGTCTTCCTGGATGATCTAGTTATACAATAACTTACTATAAAGATGAAAAAAATCACAATCTAATTATTCAATATGAAACATTATCTATAATGCTTGGACACGGCAGCAAGTATGCTTCCTAAAATTTAATATGCAGTGTTGTAATTGTGTTGGTCCCAGGATATTAGAGAGACAAGGTGGATGAGGTAATATCTTTTATTGGACCAACTTCTGTTGGTGAGAGAGACAAGCTTGTCCTCACGAGCTCTGTGTAGCTCAAAAGCTTGACTCTCTCACCAACAGAAGTTATAATAAAAGATATCACCTCACCCACCTTGTCTCTCTAAAATTTAATATGACATCTGTTGAATAGAACAAATTGCTTGCACTTTTTTTGTGGCACTAAATGTATTTATGGATCCTGAAAGTTCTGCACACATGCACCATTACAATTTGAGGAGAAAAGAGGGGCTCTTAAATCAACAGGACCAGCTCTAGGCACCAGCAAAGCAAGCACGTGCTTGGGGTGGCACGATTCCAGGGGCGGCATTCTGCCACCCCTTCCCCCCCCCGGGGTAGTTGCGCTCTCGGAGCTTGGGACGGCAAATTTTTTGCTTGGGGCAGCAAAAAGACCTAGAGCTGGCCCTGTAAATCAACAAGTAGAATTAAGAGAGTTAAGCCATAACTATGATATTCCAGGCAATGAAAAAGAATCAAAGATTAATTTGTTTAGTTTCCAGGATTAAGAAATTTTAATAAGTGCCCCCTCAAATGGGTCAAAGCAGTTATATCTATTCTAAGGGTCATGGGCATTATAACTTAGGCCTTTTGTGCCTATTAACTGCATATGGTATATATGTGGTCAATTGTTTCAAGGTCCTCTTACTGAAGGCTATTTTGCTGCAATAATGCACGCACAATAGGGTAGATTTTTTATTCTATTAAACTATGAAGTATTTATATATTAGTTTAATGTACTTCTATAACATTTCTTGTTTGGAAAGGCTATTAAAGTGCTACCTACTATTTGATTAGCATTAGTATCAATGTTTCTTTAGAGGGATTTTGGTTCATATTGTACAAGTGCTTCTGAAGGTGGCCACTCATTATATTTGAGTGTTGCCATCTCTCCAATTTCCACAGAATTTATGGTTAGCATTTTTATTTTAAAATTAGAAGGCAAGAACTGGTAGTAGCCAAATTCCAAACACAGGACACAATTGTATACCCTTATTCAAATGAGCAAGGAGCACAGGATTAGGCCCTTAACGATATCTTCTTAAAAAAACTAAGGGCCTGGTGTACACTATTTCTTCTCTTTTTACAATGCACCTCATCCATAGGCTATCAATAAAACATTTTATATAATAAATCTACACTGGCCCAAAGAAAACAGAATACTAGTTAATCCCAAAACCACAGTCTTGGAGTTTCAGTGATAATAAATTAAAAACCTTCCCCCTCAACACCTCCGTTTCCCTTCACAGCCTGGGTAATGAATGGAGAGACCTTGCAACTTGCCCTGAAAGGCAACAAATTTGGTCTCCATTGGCAGATGTTACTTTGAAAGTAAAGAGCGTGGGAGGGGGGCCCTCCACTGAGCACCTTGCCACAAGCTCCATGTTGTACAAATATAGCAAGTGTAAGACTGCTTCCCAGTTGCCATGGTATAACAGAAGGAGAGGCGTGGAAGGGAGAGTCCCTCCTATGTAAAAGATCCAAACAACAGAGGGATTTTAAAGATAACTGCAATTCAAGGTTTTAGCTTTAACTGCACAAAAATCTTTTGAAAGACTTACACGTTCAGGTCTGACTATGGAGATTAAACCAACAAAATGATGCATAGGCAAAAGCATATGAAGAGAATAAAGCAGCTAAATTTATAAATCTAGACGAGAAAAGGGTTTGTGGGGACATGATCTTATAATAACTTCAAGTTCACA